AAACCCTAAACCCTTCTTGAGGTCTGGCGCGGCCTGCGCAGCGCGGTGACGGCTCTGGCGCCACACCGTGGGGCCTGGGGGTCCCATGGCCCGGTTTAGGGTTCAGGGTTTAGGGTTTAGGGTTCAGGGTTCAGGGCTTAGGGGTTAGGGTTTAGGGTTTAGGGTTTAGGGTTTAGGGTTTAGGGCTTATAAAGGGGTTTGTAGGGTTTGTATCTCTAGGACTTCTAGGGTGTTTTTAGGGTTTCCAGGGTTTCTAGGGCTTCTTAGGGTTTCCAGAATTTGTAGGGTTTAGGAGTTGCAAGGCCTCAAACCCTAGCCCTAAACCCTAAACCCCAAACCCCAAACCCCAAACCCCAAACCCCAAACCCTAAACCCTAAACCCTAAACCCCAAACCCTACAAGTACTAGGGCATCCTAGGCTGAAACCTTCAAGCTTTCGGTCCGCAGCTGCTGGGTGCCCTCAACCCTAATAAACCCTCAACCCTAAACCCTAAACCCTAAACCCTAAACCCTGTGCCCCAGGTTAGGGGGTACTTAGGGTTTACAGGGTTAGTCGGGTTTATCGGGTTTATAGGGTTTATAGGGTCTATAGGGTTTAAATAGGGTTGATGGGGGTTTCATAGGGTTTAGGGAGGCTTTTTAGGGTTCAATCCACTCGAACGTTGGGAACAAAAGAAACCCGAGATTGGGATCATGTACGCCATGCTACTCTAACGTCACGAAGGTTTGTGGGGTTTTGGGTTCAGGGTTTAGGGTTTAGGGTTTAGTGTTTAGGGTTTAGGGTACTTGTCCACGTGGGTTCACGGCTTACAGGGCTGAATCGGTTCGTTGGGGCTCACCGGCCCTTGGCCCTGGGGCCTAAACCCTAGCCCTCAAACCCTAAACCCTAGCCCTAAACAGCCCTCAACCCCAAACCCTAAACCCTAGCCCTAAACCCTAAACCCTAAACCTTGAAAAGCCGAGGTATGGCTTGCAAGATGGAAGCTTCGGCGCCCTGCACCTCGGTCTCTCAAGATGGCTTCTTGGGCTTTGGGATTTCCAGGTTTATTTCGTGGGGCCTCCATGGGTACTTAGAAGGAGGGTTTAGGGTTTAGGTTTTTCTGTTTAGGGTTTCGGGTTTAAGTTTTGGGGTATAGGGTTTAGGGTTTCGGGTTTAGGGTCTGGTCTAGGGCTCATGGGTACTTATAAGGGTTGTTTCGGGTTCTAGGGTAAACCTTTAAGCCCTAAACCGCGATTCTCCATGCTCCACCAACAAGACCAAAAGTAGCTTGCGTCTGGTTCGCGTGGGCTCACGCGAATGTGCATGTCAAGGAGACCTTCTGCCTTGAACCAAGGACCCCAACTACCCTCAACCCCAACAACCTCATAGCCAACCCATACACCCCAGATCCTCACGGCCAAAGGCAAACGAACTAACGCCCAGCAATTCCGTAAGCAAACGTCCAAACATCCATAAACTACCCAGCTACGCTGGAAGATACCCGATGGGCAACAGGCTCTTCATCGCAAAACCCTTTACAACCTAAACCCTAAACGGCCCTAAACCCTAAACCCTAAACCCTAAACCCTAAACCCTAAACCCTAAACCCTAACCCTACCCCCTACCCCCTAAACCCTAAACCCTAAACCCTAAACCCTAAACCCTAAACCCTAAACCCTAAACCCTAAACCCTAAACCCTAAACCCTAAACCCTAAACCCTAAACCCTAAACCCTAAACCCTAAACCCTAAACCCTAAACCCTAAACCCTAAACCCTAAACCCTAAACCCTAAACCCTAAACCCTAGCCCTAAACCCTAAATCCTGAAGTCCAAGGACTGTGAACACCTCGGATGGCCCAGGGAACGTCGGAGTCTGAGTGAGATGTGGCTAGGCTTCGGGTTATTTTTTTCGGTTTAGGGTTTAGGGTTTAAACCAGCACGGCCGAAATCAGATGTTTCCCAAAAGCTAACCGGATGTTTGTTTTTCAGGTGGAAGTAACGGATTTATATATTATATATGTATGGTCCGCGCAAGCAATGCAAAAAAATCCATCACAAAACAAGTCTAAGTGTTTAGGATGGGTATAGATTCGAAAAACATGTGAGGTAGTTCAGTTTTAAGCCCAAGACCCTGCGGTTTCAAACGTCCAACCCTATTCCCCTAAAACCCTACACCTTTCTTGAAGACTTGGTTGTCGTGTGCTTGTGGCGTTTGTGCTGTCTTGTTGCTGTGCTTGTGCTGTCTTCGAATTTGCATGGCGCTCGCATACCTGGCTCGGGTCTCGGTTAGAGTTAACATTTTAGGCCTTTGGCACAACTAGGGTTAGCAAGCTTCAGCAGCAACGTGCAGCAGCCCGACCACATGACATGTCTAGCGTTTGGGAAGCGGGCAAGACAGCAACCGTCAATCAGCAAACAACCAGTTCAGCACCAACACAGCAACACCAGCTCAGCAAAATGCACACACAGACTGCCTGCAATACAAACTCTCAAACGCGCGGCTAGCTCGCCCGCAGGACCAAAGCTGCCCGCTGGACAAAATCTCACATCCGCGGCTAGCCCGCAGGATGTATCAAGTAAGTAGCGAAGAACAATGAAAACACATATTCGCGTCATCTGGTGTGTTTTCGACCGCACATCATAGCAAAGGCTTTTCTTGCCCGTCCAAGAACTACTGACAAGCAAAACCTCGTACGCACTACTAAACTTGGCCCTAACTAATTCAATACGATTATTGCACACCTGTCCTGTTTTGCTTGTCCTGTCTTGTTGCTGTACATTCAGAAGCATTCATGTAAGATTTGCATGACGACTTGTTGTACTCACACACCTGGCAGCTCAACAGGGGACAAACTGCACGAGTAAAACAACCGTGTGGAGACATCAAGCGCTGCATGATTGTGCCACATGCCGTCTGCTCCTTCTTGGCCTTGCTGCAAGCCTGCGATTCAAAGCTTGAACACAGAGTGACACTCTAAACAGTTGGGGCTACAGACAGCAAAAACAATCAGTAAACATCATTATAATCAATCGACGCTGAACACCCTGAACGTATGGTCACCGTATGGTGAATGGGGATGGCCCTGACACCAGCGGGGTTTAGGGTTTAGGTTTGAGCCTTGAGGAAGAGGTCATTGTTAAGGGCATAGGGGGACCCTGCAATCCCTACATAACCCATAGACCCTGAACACCCTGCAAAAGTGTGTGCACGTGTGACAGAGTGTGTCATGCATGTTCTTGATGTGAATAATCTCAGTGTTTACAAATTGAATGTATTACGCGTATTGTTATTGTCTGCATGTATGCCATGTGTGCATGCTTGCATGCATGTATGTTTGTTTGTATGTCATGTGTCACTGTATGTACGTCAAATTCGATATACGCTGTGCTTATTTGTGGTGATTCTTGGTTGTTTGTTGTATGTCTCCTGGTCTGTTGTGTTGTGCTGCGTTCTGCTGTTTTGCTTGTTGCCCTTTTGCTTGGCAGTTTCTTGTGCATTCGGGGGCTGATTAACAGACAGAGATCTTGGCATGTCAAATGTGTGTATTAAGATTTGGGGTTCAGGGTTTCGAGTCACAAGCAACCAGTCAACAGTCAAGCAAAAAAAGCAAGCGCACGAGTAAGCACATAAGCACACAAGCGCACAAGCACACGCCAGCACACAAGTTCCAGGTTTTAGAGAGGGTTTTACGGTCAAGCTCACCTTTCTCACTCTTAGCACTCACGCGGTGGGGCAGCAGGCGACAGGATTGAGTCGGTCAACCTGTCAGCCGCTGCAAGTCTTGAAGTGGCCGTTATTGCATTAAGGCTGCTAGCTGCCAACTGCCAAAAAACTGTTTGTATGGAACTGGGGTAGTAAGCAAGCTGTATTATGTCAGAGCCAGGCCGGCAGATGGCAAGCTACGGCAGCCGATTAAAGCTGTGCCAAAGAGCGGCAATTCCAGACATCATTGAGGTGCATCAGACTCCTAAGCCTAGGCTAGTTGCCCAGCCCGTCGTGCCATGCAGCAATCACGAAAATCCGCGTAGCACGCGCTAGAGTCATCATGAGGGAGTCTTATAAATCAGATCGAGGGCATGGGCTAGACTGACAGGTGACTTGTTGATAGTGTTCACGGGCTGGGGCTTTGTAGTAGCCAGAAGCTCCGAGCAAATCGAGCCGGATTGTATGCAGAAGCGGCAGAAAGTAAGACCTATGGCCCGCTGACGTCCTCTGGATCTCCAGATTGCTGCCTTAACGCAAATCTTATTTCCCAGCCCTAAACCCCGATGCACAACATCCCGCCGCCTCGAAAACCCGGGTGTTTGGCAGGGTAACAGCAGCAGCACATGAAGTTATGCGCCAGTGGAGTTAATTTGAACCACCTTTTGACTCTGAGTTCTATTGGGTTCCCCCGAACTCGATAGTTCATGTATTGTCTGATGAACACATACAAATGGCTTTTGAAAACAATCGCGTGAAAGCCGAGCTTAATCAAGGTGACTCAAAAGGTGGTTCAAATTAAAATTAACTTAATGACTTTGGGCTAGTTACTGAATGTATCTTCGGGCCTAATTCTGCGACTAACAAAGGGCTTTCGTTTGAGGTTCATTTGACGCAACCTCATGAGCGCATCCGGCTCAGGGCGCACGGTAAAGATTGCCCAAACGCATGCGGGCAAAGCTGTACAAGATGGACAGGACGCTGACTGTTTGTCAGGTGTCAAATTCCATGTCTGCGTGTTCGCGATCATGAACAGCAGAATAATTCCGCTTTAGCGACCGGGCCGGCCTATGGCTGTCATATTCAAAATCCTGCATGACTCCGTGACCAATTACACTTAGAGTACTGTGGGTATTGGGAACAATGTAACTCAAAGTAAACCCCAAAAAGTTGGAAACTGGATTAAGGATGCCAAGTGCTGGGATTCTGTACACCCATTCAAGGATTGAGGCTATTGGGTTTCCAACTTTTGGCTTCTACGCTAAGTTCTGGGGTCATGCAGTATTTTTGACCATGAACGCCACATGACTTGGGAGTCACTGCTCGTAGCGCTCAAAGAAGTCCTCGGCCTCCCGGAGCAGCTCGTCCCAACTCTGGAGCGCGCTATCGGGAATGGCGGTGGCGGGCCCATGCTGGCGCTTGCAGTAGTAGGCATAGAACGCCTCCACAAATCCATTGACTCGCGAATGGGCACGGGGATGCCGCTTAGACAGCCACACCAGGCCGGCTTCCACGTAGGGTCCAACCGTGCCCGGGTTGGACATCAGCTCCCTCGTGCCCGGAATCAAGATAAGCACAGCGTGTGTAAGGGTCCCATTCCCATAGCCATCGTTCAGATCCTCATGGTAGGCGTCGTGCTGATCAGGGAGAAGTGCAGCCTTGTATTCGTTGAGAAATCTGATGCGCTTGTCCATAAGCTTCCTCTCCACATCCAGCACGGCATGATACGCATCCGCCAGGCTGCCCCATGACGAGCGAAGAAAGTCGGCCGGAGGTGCATGCCTGCACTTGCGGCACCCAAACAAGTCGCCAATCACGGGCTGACTGTGTGCCCGCTGACTTGGACTCCAGTGCCTGGGCCCGCTCAGGACTTCCATGCACGCGGGGCACTGCATGGCAGCAGGAAGCTGTAGACCCGGAGTTGCTAAGGGCTACAAAATTGATGCAAACACTGCAGAAGTGCACCGGGCACACACAGCAAAACACTGCAAGGATCTCCCACACATGGCACAGAGCATGGCAACATGCATTAGTTGGAGATCTGGCCGCCTCGCAAACCTGGGTCACGGCTGCGCAGGGCAGCATCCATAGCCTCGGGCACACGCTGCATGGGTGGGTGGGCAGCTGTGTGTGTGTGTGTGGTGGTGGGGGGGGGGGGAGGAGGATTTGTTCCGGGCGGGGGGGGGGCAAGGATGGCCCACCATCTATGGCCACAACTTGCCACAACACACAGAAATCAGATTCAGAAGAAACAAGCACTGACAGTTTGCAATATGTCAAGTCAGCAAGCAAGCCGCGCCAAACAGTTTCGTCTCTGCCTCCAAGATTGCAGTTGCCCTCATCCACTGGCTGTTGGCTACGCGCTATTTGGGCTGACGGTGTGCAGCGCGGCAGATCTCTCAGACTCAGTGACCGCTGGACCAGCTGGTGATACCACGGCAAAAAGTGTGACAAGGGAAATCGACGTGGTTGCCAGGTTCAAGGAGGAACCTGGCAACCACGTCGATTTCCCTTGTCACACTTTGCCGTAGGCAGTTCACAGAACTTATTGCAACGCTGCCTTGCTCATCTCTTGGCAATGGGTCGCCAAGCTTGTTTGGCGTTGATCTGCCAGTGTGTACACGCCCAAGCATGGCCACGGTCGTGGTTCGTCTCTCAAAAGGCTTTGATGAAAGATGCTGCCTGCAGCCAGGCGGGTTCAACAACAAGCGACCTATAATAGCAGCGCAGGAACGAAGTACTCAGCAGACAAGCAGCTCAGCCAACAGATCATTGCTGGACCTGGATGGGGGGGAGCCAGGGCCCGGGGTGTCCAAGGGGCTCACCTCTGCAGCCTTGATGGGAAACGTGGCCAGCAAAGTCAAGAGGGAGGCCTTCCTCCTGCGGTGTGTGCTCGGCTGCAAGACACTAGGAACCACCGTGTGGCAAATAGCAGGCTTTTAACTCAAGGTCCTGTGTCCTCATGCCATCCGAAAACTTGGAAGAAACTGTCGATGCGTTCCCCCAGCCTGGAGAAAGACAGCAATTGAAATTCGTGTTCTGCAGTGCGGTGACAAACAAAAAGCGACTGCAAAGAAACACGAAGCAAGCAAACAAGCAGCGACAGACGCTCACAGCACAAGCGTGTCACAAACCGCAGCACCATGCGGGCCCAAGAGCAAATTGCTTGATTCGTTTCGACCGTCATCGCTTCTGCGTGTGCCGCAGCAATAAGGCATCATGTAATGTTGACCTAGTAATAATAAACCCCCCCCGCCCCCCTTCAATCAAACCCCCCCACATAGAGTGAGGCCCTTTGAATAAGGATTCCTTTCCTTAGAGAGAATTAGAGAGCATCAGAGAGAATCACTCAGGATTCCTTTCCTTAGAGAGAATTAGAGAGGATCAGAGAGAATCAGAGAGGATCAGAAAGGGTCAGAGAGAATCAGAGAGGAAAAACGGACCCCCCAAAAAAAAAACAAGCCCCGACTGGCGTACTTTATTGCCAGGGCTTTGTTATTGCGGCCGGGACACCTGGCGTACTTTAATGTTAGGGGCTATTTAGTAATCCTAGGTTAACATTAGGGACGGGATTTGATCGGCCCTTCAGGCCTGAATCCTAAACAGGCTCCTTACAATGCTGCTCTCTTGACGAGCTTCCACGGCCTGCCTCCTTGTCTGGACGCGTAGCTCCCAGGTCGCCATTGTAAGTTTATTACACGACATTTAGGCGGTTTAAGTTAGATTTATAACTAAATTAATTATTTGTAAAATTTAATTTAAGAACATAATATAATAAATAAATAATTCTAAATTTAATTTAATATTATTATTATGATGTAAATTATTTAACTTTACTTTAAAGTAGTTTATTATATAATTTATTCGTCAGTTTATTTCTTAAATCAAATTAAATATTATTTAATAAAATTTAATTTAATATAATAATTAAATTTATAATATAAAAATTCGATCTTTCATCTTTAAGTCACACCCCTTCTGCCTCTCTCCCACAACGCCAAATTGCCATTCCGTGCGCTCCCAATTTGCGTCCGTTGCTGTCCTTAACACCAAGTTATAAAGCGCTTATTGCTTATTACGTGACGGGTTTTTTTCCACGCCAAAACGTCTGGGAAAGGGACGGGCTTCTTAATTCTTCACGGTGTGCAACGGCTTTCTTTGGCAAATCCGGCTTGGGAAGTGCGACGTGTTTTCGTGTTTTGCAAATTTGTCTTGGGAATGCGGCGGCTTTTTTTTTTTTTTGATATAAAACCTGGTTTCATAATAATTTAATGTATTATAATATTTTATGCACAGGGTTTAGGAGTTTATTATGGGGTTTATTAGGCGGTTTAAGGTGTAGGGGTTTGGGGTTTAGGGTTTGGAGTTTAGGGGTTTAGGGTTTAGGGTTTAGGGTTGAGGGTTTAAGGGTTTAGGGTTCAGGGTTCAGGGTTTAGGGTTTAGGCTTCAGGGTTCAGGGTTCCGGGCTTTGTCGGTTTTTTTTTTTTTTTTTGGGGGGGTGGTTGTTTTTGCTTTTCGAATGGAGTTTGCTTTTAATGGCTCTAAAATTTAGGGAGGTTTTGTCAGGGGGGGGTTGGGTTTTGGTTGGGGGTTTGGGGGGGCCTAAAGGGCGCCGGCAGTATCTTTCGGGCTTTCTTTCCCTGTTCAGCATCTTTTCTGATGCCCTGAAAGCCATGATGCTTTTGTCTCTAAACTCAAAAAAAAACCTAAACCCAAAACCCTAAATCCTAAACCCTGAAATGTGACGTTTTTTTATTTGGAAATCCGCCTTGGGGAATGTGATGGTTTCGTTTTTGCAAATCAGTCTAGGGAAAATGTGACGGCTTTTTTGCAAATCCGTCTTGGGAAATGTGACGGCTTTTGTTTTGCAAATCCGTCTTGGGAAATGTGACGGTTTTTTTTTTTGCAAATCCGTCTTGGAAATCGTGGCGGTTTTTTTTTGTAGCCGAAAATGGTGTGATCGGTTTTTATGTTCCATGGTCTTTAAAAAGTGATCATGTTTGGGCTGGGGGGGGGTCCCCTGAAAACGCGACTGGTTTTCTGGAAAACCAATCACGATTCTGTATCCGTAATTGAAACCGATCACGTTTCGACCGGTGTCCCCATTTTGAAATTGTGATCAGTTTGCATTTTGCATTGGAAATTGCGACTGGTTTTCCGGAAAACCAGTCACGTTTCGGCCCGGCGTGCCCCTGCCCCAGGTGTGATCGGTTTTTTTTTCGTAGGGCTGAAAATTGTGACGGGTTTTTTTTCGTTGGGCTGAAAATTGTGACGGGTTTTTTTTTCGCACGGCTGAAAATTGTGCCGGGTTTTTTCTCGCAACACCCTCCCCCAAATTGCGATGGTTTTTTTCCGTAATCTCCTAAGCTCCTAACGCTCCTAAGCGCTAAGGTTTAGGGTTTGGGTTTAGGGTTTAAGGGTTGAAGGGTTTAAGGAGTTAATTTTACGGGTTAGGGTTTCAGGATTTCAGGACTTAGGGCGGCGCCTAAGCGCTTAAGCTCCTACGCTCCTAAGCGCCTAAGCTCCTGTCCTAAGCGCCTAAGCTCCTGCGCTCCTAAGCTCCCAAGAGCCTAAGCTCCTGTGCTCCCTCCTCAGCGCTCCCCCGGTCCCCCACTCCCCCTCCCCTCCCCCCCCTTCCCCTCCCCCGGTTAAGGGGCCAGGGCCCCGGGTTTGGGGTTCAGGTCTCAGGGCCTAGGGTTTGGGGGGGGTTTCGGGGGGGTTTTGTTTTTTGCTTTTCGAATGGAACTTGTTTTTTTGTGATGGCTCTAATTTAAAATTTAGGGAGGTTTTGTCAGGGCGGGTTGGGTTTTGGTTGGGGGTTTGGGAAGGACCTAAAGGGGCGCCGGCAGCATCTTTCGGGGCTTTCTTTGTCTGTTCAGCGTCTTTGGTGCCCTGAAAGCCATGTTGGCTTTCAGGGTACCAACATGCTTTTGGCTGATTTTCTTGCTCTGAGGAAGGATTATTGCACGAGCTGCTCGTAGTCAAACGCGTAAAAATTCTTTGAGTGTTCAGGGCTTAGGGTTTAGGTTTAGGGTTGAGGGTTGGTTCGGGGAGCCCGTAGACCAGGGGCCGGGGATACCTGGCGGGGGGGGGGGGGGGGGGGGGTGCGAGCGCACAACCAAAACTGGGCGCTTAAGAGCTTCGGCACTTAGGGGCGTAGGAGCTTAGGCGCTTAGGAGCTTAAGAGTCAGAGATTAGGCGCTTAGGCGCGTAGTAGATTAAGCGCCTAATGAAATCGCCCCGGCGTAACGAAAAACCATGTATTATCAAAAGTGCACTCTCAAACCTAAGGCCAGGCCCTATAGACCCTTAAGCGCAGGCAGGTAAATATATCATACACGCAGCCTTTCAAACAAATCCATTTAAATTATGCGCTGGACGCCCTTGAGAAATACCATCCGCCTCCAAAATCTCACGGCTGAATCCTTCTTATGATATAATTAGAAGATTCTGGTTCATGGCCTGGCGGTGACCCTCTGCATTGGGGGGGGCGGGGCGGGGGGGGGCGGGGGGGGGAGTCTGTAGTTAATGCGGGCACTGATCGAAATTTGCTATCTGGGCACCCTGATCGTATGCAAAAACTCAAGTTTGCACTGGACTAGTTTATTTTGGGGGCCTTATTTCGAACATCGTAAGGGTGTACTGTACATAGGTCATGACTTCACAACATACTTGGGGCTTCTAATTAATGATAAGTTGTTAATAAGAATAAATTCATTCAATTGTATATAGGAAAATACGGCCTATAGCGAGGTACTCTGAAGCCTCATGCAGCGGCTAACAGCCCAAAACCCCAGGCCCAATTTAGTGGCTTATTTCAAGCTTTGACGCCTCCAAGATTCAAGGTCTAAGATAAAATTCACGACTAACTGTTTCTTGAAAAACGGCTTGGATC